ATTAATTTCTTATTCTCTCATTTATATTTGATTTTCTATTTTAGATGTCTAAAAATTTTAAATGAAATGTAATAATTTATAAATTTGTATATATAAAATGCAAACAACCATTCAATGTGTCGTTTGTCGTGACGCTTTAGTTAGTATCTGCGAAGTCAGTTCTATGTCCCTTAAGGTCACATAATTGACTCGTCTGAGTGCATCTGACTTGGAGTGCATAATCAAGTGGTTATGCACATGAGAGCGGCTAGGGGCTCTTACCATAGCCTCCGGTCATTCCATAAGAAAATTTTAAATGAAATGTAATAATTAATAAATTTGTATATATAAAATGTAAACAACCATTCAATGTGTCGTTTGTCGTGACTCTTTAGTTAGTATCTGCGAAGTCAGTTCAATGTCCCTTAAGGTCACATAATTGACTCGTATGAGTGCATCTGACTTGCAGTGCATAATCAAGTGGTTATGCACATGAGGGCGGCTAGGGGCTCTTACCATAGCCTCCGGTCATTCTTTTTCAAAAAAAAACTATTCAATTATTTTTATTTTTATTATTTCTTCAACATTATACATAAACTATAGAATAGAAAATAAACAATTTATCATTCAAAACGCCTTTTTGTTTACAATACGAAAGAAGCATATAAAGCAAAAAATTTAATCGTGAGTCTTTTTAACATAAATGGAAAAACAATAACATCATGCAACCTTTCAATCATTTAAAATTCAACATGCATAAAAAATATCGTAAAAAGAAAATTAAAACATCTTACGCTCCCTCGCCTCTACCACCAAGGACGCGTGCACGGCCCTTCCTCTGGAGTAATCCTTCCAACACAACCCGCTTCTTATACATCTCCGACTCCACGTCCACCTCTCCAGCCGCCATCCTCCTCCTTCCACCGTCGCCCTTCTCCATATCTTCCCTCGCACGTGGCGGTTGCCGGAGCAAACCAACTACTGACAAGCACGTGATCATGAGAACCACAGATGCAACAGTGCCATAAATCGCCATCACGACCAACATCAACATCAGAAAAGGCAATCCAACCACCATCTGGTCAAGTTTGTTGGCCCAGCCTGATGGAGCATCACTGGTTCCAGTTGGGTTCGGTTCAAATGAACCCGGCTGACTCTGTCTTCTTCCATGATTAGGTTCCATCAAAATTTTGTTCATGGGTGTCGTTGGCTTGCTTCGATTATTTTTTGCTTTATTCTGTACGAAGAGATTGAGCAAAATATTAAATCAGAACTCCAGATGCATTTGGAGTCCAATGATGGGATGTCACGTGTCAAATGAGCTCCACCGTTTTTAACACTGCTCAATGTCAGTGTATTGCACTGGACACCATTTGACACTTGGCATCCCACCAGATGTAATATTTTGTCAGCAAAATGAATATGAAGTTGAAGAAAATCTTGAGATTTATGTTGAAATAAGGTTATATACTGCATAAACAACCCTGGCTTTCAAGTATTTAACATTTTAAGCCAACCTTGCTTGTTGGGGCAACTGAGTCATTAGAAGAAGCTGAGATAGTATTCTCAGCTCGATCATCCCGCGGAGTCTTGGCCTTCCTCCTATGCCGTGAAGAGACGGTTTGATTTCCCGTGCCGCCATCATCGTTTTCGGCGGTGGCCGTGACGGAACTCCTGTAGCAGAAGATGAAGCAAGAGGGCCTTCTCTCGCATTTGGCTTTGTACAAGTTTTTCTCCTTCATGGACGTCTGAGGAGGAAGAGATGCTGCAAGGAAGATGAAGAAACAATTCAAGTTTTTCTCCTTCATGGACGTCTGAGGAAGAGATGCTGCAAGGAAGATGAAGAAACAATCTTTTATTCGGTATGTAGTTATAGGCTGCTAGTCTTTGATGGGCTAAGAAGTTAGGAGTTTGTCTAATACAATTAGTATTACATGACTAGATGTCATTTCCTTGACTTCCCACATTTAAATGTTTATAATCAAATGAATGAGTTAAAATTGAAAGACCATTTCCATACAAATATCCTGATTACAAATATTCTTGCTCTAACACAAATTGAATATATATATATATATATATACACACACACACACACACACACATACATATATATTTAAAAAAGAATGATCAGATGCTATTATACGAGCCACGACCATCCCTCATGCACCTAAGAATTCAAGTATCACACCCTTCACTAAGGGGGAATCGAACCACATACGAGAGGAGACTTACAACTGACAAGCAGATGTCCAACCAACTGAGCTGAGTACACAACGCTTTTACATATATATATATACATATATATTTTTCATCTTTTTCGTAACGTTAGATCATGTACAGTTTGAGAAATTTGAACATTTATTTCTTTTAAAAATTTTGCCCTCTAAGATTTTTAGATAATTTATACAAGATTTTTTTTTCTTAAAAAAGTTTAGATTACTCGTACTTTCTAAAACTATTCTCCTCTAAATTTTTTAGATAACCTACATCTCTTGAGGTTTTTATCTTAAAAGATTTTTAAATGACTAAAAACTTTTTCAACCATCTACTCACATATAGTCTCTTAGTGAAAATATTTTCCAATATTAATTTTCTTTCAACTTTTTCTCATAATCATGCATTCTAAGATTTAAAATAAACATATTTTATCTACCACTTACTTTCAAGAAATGGTTAAGTTGAAAAGCTATGATGCAATATTATTTATAAAAGAATTGTGATGGTAATATTTAATATGAGATATATAAATAAAAATGAAATTAAAAAGTTAAATCCTTAATCATCTCTCGAAGAGGAAAAATTATTGCATACGGACACCGCATGCGATCCTGACCGTAAATCACGGTAATCTACGGTGAGTATGTATTTCAGTTTTTTTTTTAATTTTTTTTTGAAGTGGGGCCCACCAAAATACAACCTGACCGGGTCAGGATCAGAGACTGCTTGCATCTCTGCATGCGGTGTCCGTATGCAATAATTTTTCCTCGAAGAGAGACTATATCTTGATTTGGTAGAAGTTAGATGAAGAAGTTAATGTCCTTGGCCTGCATCAAAGATTTGCTAGATTTATTAGAGGTGGAATAAACGAGTTAATAATTAATCTCCTCTTATTTATATAATACCCTATTATATGTGAAACTTGACTTTTTTAAGTGAGAGATGGATGTGATGTTTATAAATATATATGATGGCAATTAATTCAACATTACAATATAAATTAAGTCAATATATATTAGAATAAGTTGGATTAGAAGAGATAATTATAAAAGTTTTTCTTCCATAGTGATTGGAAGAGTGATTGTACAAAGAAGCTTTATAGTATGCCCTTCAAAATCACAAATGTCATGCGCATAAGGTTAGAGCTTAACAAAATCACTATCATGATGAAGGGCTATGAGTTCATCTTAGTTATCTCTAACGTGCAATTCATTACAATGACCAGTTGTCTAAAATGCATTTGTTATGCACCTCTTGAATTCAATTGAATTTATTGAACTATCAAACAAATATTATGTCAACATACATAAAATCAAATAAGTGAAAATAAGCAACACATAAACTACTACAAAAAATTTTAAAAATAAATCCAACTACAACATATAGTTACATCCAATATCTGGGAATGAAATTTAATTAATGCTAAAGACGAAAAATAGATCATAAAATACAAGTAAGTAACCATGATAAATAATAAAAAGAAAGGAAATAGTGAAACTTGGTTATGCAGACTCTCGCTCTGCTTCCCCAGTCTTTACTTTCTTTCTTGTGCTCGGCCTTCTCTTAATGTCTTACCTGAATTGGTAGCTTTGAAACCTTAGAAAGTCCCTCGAGAAAACTAAGGAATAATCTGCTAATCTCTTATGAAAGTTTCCTTAAAAAGACCTTCAAATTTTCTTAAAAAAAAAAAAAAGTTTCACCAAAATTAAGGCAAAATTATCAGATGCTTTAGTGGCACCTAGGTATCAGGGCCTTGCACTTAGGTACCATACTCTATTCTTTCTAACTTCAATTATGCATGATTTGAGCAACTTTATGCCAATTATGGGCATTCAATTATATATTTTAGTGTTAGTTTATTATTATTATTATTATTATTTTGGCTCCCAAATCAAGCACATAAGGGCCATGCCTTGTGTTTGTGCACCCAAATCTGGCTCCTAGAATCTGAGATTTAGGTCTAGCACTAAAATTGGGGCTTAGGCTTTAGAACAACCCGAAATCTCCCTAAAGTTTTTTTTT